GTCTGTTTGCCCACCGATGCCACTGATAATGGGTCGCACTTTGAAATCGCGCGCATTATTTGAAGTTAATCCTACTGCGGGAGGTTTATGTGTTTTGACCAGTGTTGACCACGATCAGCCCATTTGTCCGGTTCTCTACAGTGTGTAGAGAACCGGACAAATGGGCTGATCGTTCTTAAAACGCATTACTATGCTCCTAGGAGGTCCCGCAAATCACGCGTTTCCATCCAGATTCATTTAAGTTGGGAGCTGACAGGGTGCGTAGACTGAGGCATCAGACAAATGCTGCTGGGTTAATGCCATGTCCAATTCACGTGACATAACGACAAACTCCCCACCTTTATCGCTCACTGAAACCTTGATCAATCCTGCGTTGCATAGATTACGAATTTCGCGTAGGCCGCGGCGCTGCGCAGGAGTTATTACTATTTGCGCGTTTTTTGGCAAATTTGTCGACGACGGTGAACACTGAGGTGGCGAAAACGTGGAATGGGTGTCTACCGTGCTGTTGGGCTCCTGTGGTTTGTAATAGAGGCGAGGGAAAGGTACAGGAGGCAAAGATACAGTTGCAACAGATTTGATGCCGTTTGCGCGCTGTTCCTCTTTTGGCTCGGAGCCGCAGTGATTCGTGAACAAATTGCAGGCTGCCGACGATTTTGCGTGAGACCCGAGGCCCTATTGATTGGAGTGGTGAGAAACTTGGACCTAGATCCAATACAGACAGCGCGTCATTGGAGATAAGCGGATCACCGATAACACACACGTTGAACTTTTGGCATTCTACAGAGCTGTCCTCGAAGTAGTCTTGCTGGTTTGAAACTAGGCTCGTGCTAACTAGTTGCGAACTCTGACTCTGCTTTACACTAACTAATTTTTTGAATTTCCTTTAAAGTCTAGTCTTGATATCAGAGCGAATAAGATTGCAAATGAGCTTCGACTCACCCACGATTCTCCTCTAAAGACGTTCAGGCAGAATACATTCACAACACTTCTTTTTGTAAACATTTCGACAGTAGCATAAACATCTGAATTTTCTTCATTCGTAGAGCTGCGCGTAGGAGGTCTTGTTCGATTTGTTGAACTTTTCTAGTTCGCTCGGGGAGGCCGCACGTTTCGTGGAGACGCTTCTTGTGGATGATGTTGGTGTGATTCTTTCAACTGGATTGGAGGCTGGAAGGTGAGGTTTCGTGGCCTAGTTAAAGCCAGAGAATGATCAGAGAGCATAGAGACGCAGACTGCCTCGCGGGAGCAAGCGGTCGCCTTCCAGCCGCTAACCTCGTTAAATTGAGGGGTACCCATTTAAAAAAAATTTGCACAATCGGTATGGCATTTTTCTTTTGAAAAGACTGCAATTAATCCACATTCAAAGCGACATCGCTGAATGTAAGTTGATAAGCCTCAAGTCCAAATTAATCCGACCTTAAGCCAGCAATGGCCGAGTAAAGATGACGGCGCTTCACATGGGACTGTCGTTTTTGTGCGTCGTAGCCTCTCTGTAACACTGTAGAAGATAAAATCCCAACATAGCCAAGAGCTGATGTACATAACATGCATACATCATCCTCTAAATTTCTAACTTCTCGACAAAGATTATCAATTTTTTCCTTACTGTGTGTGCGAATATGAGTAAGCAATGCAGCGATGTGTTAATTACTAAAAAACAAACGTTTGCTAAACAGCAGAGGGATATAATTTGCTAAACTGTTGTTGCTGTTTACGTTCAAATCTAGCCATTTTTTTGGTTCTTCTTTCCAATATAAAAAAAATCAGACTACCTCAAATTCTTCACCAAAACAGTTTTTTGGAGCAAAACAAACATTTGCTAATTCTTTAGTATTATTCAATGATAGTGCGTACATATGCTGGGCAAATTGTGCATTTTTATAATAATCTAAAGTAACCGCAGATGAGTTTCTGCTAACTTGAATGATATGCTAAAAGTCTACTTATAATCTAATCAATTCCGTTCGTGTACTCAATTTCAAAACTTTTCCGTGCTCGTTCTGTTGCCGTTGTTGCAAGGTGTTAGAGAATTTGTTCAGTTTCGTGCCGGATTTACAAGCAATCATAACCCAGTATCTTATCTTGAAAACAGCAACTAAGCAAACAACCCTTTTACACTTTGGTTTAGTTTTTACCACACTCGCTTCAAATTTGATCTTATCTGAATCTTTTATTCTTCAAAAGCTTCAGGAGAATGATATGTATAAGATTGAACACGTTCATTTTTGAGAAGTGCGACTAAATCTACTCCTGAGCAGGGACTTTAAGTGAGGCAGTCATAGCGTGAAAAGATTCTCATGTACATTGTCGAGGACCAAAATGTTCCCTTATGTCATCTAAAATCAGCTTTCTTCCTTTGTAAATATCTTCGCAGAGTTTGCAGAGTGCATTGCTTTGATATGAATCAGGCTTTCGAAAATGTTTTGTCCATTCAAAGTACCTGAAATCATCTGCGTCATAGAATGTGATACCAAAACAATTACCATTGTTTAGCAGTCTGCATGATCGCGAGAGTCGGACGTGCGTTACGTCCAATGTCACTGAGGCAGGTGCTAGACCTATCCTGTTTCAACCGGTTCGTCCAATTCACTTATTCGCTATTGGTCAAATCAATGTATTGACCAATAGCAGAGGGGTGTACCTCATAAAACTGTATAACAGGGTAAGTCTGGTACCTGTTTGAGTCGTGGGACGGACAGCGGACGTACGCACGTCCGACTCTCGCGATCATGCAGGCCTCTACATCAGATAGAGTAATGAAAGTAGCACTTCCCCCCATAAGACCTAAGATCATCATGTTTGGAATGGAAAAGTCCTCCTGATCTTTTTTCATTCAAAACAATGATGTACTGCTTATACATTTAAAAAAATGCAGAGATTTCTTTTGAAAGTTATCATGAGGAAGCTCGCTTACATATACATGGTTATATTGCAAGGCTGAAAATCTATCTGGAAGTTCGAAAGTTTTAATTTGCTTTTGCCGTCTTGTCTGCAAATGTATCTGTCAACGCTAGTAAAAAAATTTTTCAAGCGCAATGCGGATAGAAGGAATCACTTCAATAAATTGTTGAATGAAAAACTCAACTCTAGAATGGGGGTAGTCCTTAAAAGCTCACTAAATCAGCAGTGTTTTGCTAATTGTTCCACTTTAGATTACACACTATTAACATAGGCATTTGCAGTTTGTTTCATATCTTAAAGTGGTCTTTATGAGCTATTTGCAGAACTTTCAACATTCTTGCACCTATGCTGCATTTGAGAAGTTATTGAGAAGGATAAGCTCAGGTAAGCCTAAAGTTCTTGAACATTGACGTCCGGTTCACACGCGCATAGGGAAGTGCCAAATGCGAGAAACGTTGATGGGACTTGAGCCCAAAAATTTCAACGTCAAAGTCAACGTTTTGCTCAAAAGTTGCTCGAGCTAAATCAGGCAAAAAGAAAATCTAAATCAGGCTGTAAGTGATAGAGTACACCTCTTCTCAACTTTTTTTTTGCGAACTCTCTTTGCAGCGTTAAAAAACATGGAAACGTGATTACTGCTTACAATACTCTCTCGAAATATGCTGAAATTGTTTTGCAACTGTGCTGCATGCGCTGCAGCCCCCCGCACGCGATTTTAGGCGGCAAGAGTTGGAGATTTTGGACCGTACTGAACGCTTTTCCTCTCAGAATTCACTCATTCTGGTCTCATTCGTTTACTCAGCTTCCCTTTCTGACCATACGAGCCTCGATTTTGCAGCGAGATTGGAGAGTAAGCGCAGTTCTGTTTATATATTGGAAGATGTGGGTTCATACGCTCGTCCATCCTTTCTTCGTTATTTTTATTCAGGCCATCCATTTGTTTCAGGAAGTCGCTGCATACTTTCACATTTGTTTTGAAAAGGACATAGAGGAATTTATCCACTTGAAGTAGGTCTGAACGGAACAACGAAGAGAGAATGGACGAGCGCACGAAGACTCATTTTCTCGGATACATGAAGCAAAACAGCGTTCACTCTTCAACTCTGCTTCAAGCTCGCAGCTTGTCTGTTCACGAGAACGAGATAGAAAAGAAAATAAGCAATGATATTAAAAAGGAAAGGAACTGATTGCCCAAAAGTGAAATTCATTAACTAGAGAAAAGTGCAGATTTTCTGAAATAGTTTGCATGCCCTGACTCAAGAGAGGCGGTCTTAGAAATTATGCAGCAGGTTCCTGGGACAAATGGAGTAGGTCTAAATAGAAATAACAAAACAAGAATGGATGAGGGCAGGAGGCACTTTTTCGACCACAAGGCAGAACTGCACTTATTCCTCAATCTGCTTTAAAATGAAGGCCATTCCATCTAAGGCCCCGGGCAGACTTCACGCGATTTGATCGTCGCGACTGAATCGCGACAATACAACTGTTACAACATTATTCCAAGCCGATTAAATTGCATCCGGTTGTGATACTTTTCCAGCCCGAAATTTTGGAATGTGAAATGAAAATGAATGGAAATCTTGGCGATTAGATCGCGACGATTAAGTCGCGTGAAGTCTGCCCGGGGCCTAAAGGAGAAGCGGAGTAGAGATTTGAGACCGAAATAAGTTGAGTTTGAGAGAGAATCCGTTGAAAACGTCAAAAACCCTCTGACATCCGCTGCTCAAAACTGCATGCGGGAGGCTGCAGCACAGTTACGAAACAGTTTAACACATTCCAGCAGTTCGACGACTCACTTCGACAGCAAGGTACGCGCGTTTCATATAAAGAGGACAAAATATGGTCTGCTAGGGAATAACCGCCTATTCAAGCTTTTGCTTTCATTAACACACTTTCATCTAGACTCCTTTTTCGTCTTCCTCCCGGCAGTAGGAGAAATATTTTATTGATCTCGCATTATTGTGAAACAAACTTTCAAAAAGTTAGAAAACAGTTTGTACAAGCTGTGATTTTTAGAAGTTGAAATAAGATTCACCATTTAACCTTACCGAAAACACATTTTGGCAAAGTTCTGTATTCATAATAACGAGCAAAGGTTAAATCACATGTAGAACTAACCGGAGGTATGCGGTGTCGTTTCTACGCAAATAATTCAGGTAGTTTCCCAGATCTCGAAGAGAACTGAAGTCATCTGCTGCTATGAAAGAGTATGATGGAATGCCTGCATCTAAAAAAGTTGATAAAAATCGTTCTCGCCTTTTTGACTGCACCTCTGTATATTCGACGTTCCGAAACCACCGGGACAAGCAGTTTTGAGATACGAGAATAAAACTTTTCCGTTATGTAATCATCGCAGTTGCTGTTCTCGAATGCAATGTAAAAGCGATGAGTAGCTAGAAAAACAATGTGATAATAGCTTATTACCGTACTCGCACAATTATTTAGCAGCTTCTATCTGTAAACACTGTTGCAACAACACTCCAAATCGATGTTCTGATACAAGGTGAATAAATCAAAGACTTTACATGCATGCTAATTCGAACCTTGACATAGTCGGTGGTAAAAAATGCTCACCTTGTACCAATACACTGATCATGCAAATCGCTACAAATTATCAATTTGGAGAAATAATGCCTAGAACATACCTATCAAATCGTCATCCGTGCAATCGGACTTGCAGTTATAGCTTTCTGCGCTGCCATTTATGGAAAAGAACTTTTCACATTTGCCTCTTGCAGTAATTTCGGTAAATTTGCTCAATTCTCTAGATACATTTTTATCATTGTGCAACCTAGCATTCAAATTGCAAACCTGATCTTTCTTTCACGTCTTGAAGGCGTCCTACAGTTTGAAATAAAAAACAAGGAGCCTTTGGTCTTTTTCCTAAGCGCCATGAACAGCTTAAATAGATATTGGTTAAGATGCCGTAGCAACTTTCATGGTCGTGACGTACGAGTTTGCAACCTAAGCTCGAGCTTAGCTTCATTCCGCAATCCATTATAATCACTTGCCGGTTACCTTTATATCACGAGTAAATTGCAACTGACACCCTAGGTTTAAGATCACGATAACTCTTGGTACTAAACTAGCAGGCAAGTAAATCAATGGCTTTTGGAATGAAACTGACGATGAGCTCGAACTTAGGTTGGGACCACGTACGTTACATCCATGGAGTTTGGCCCAAGATGACTCTCAACAGAATGAAATATATTTTTAGTAACCAGTAGAACGGTACTTTATTTTGTATGGTGATCAGAAGAACTACGCAGCGAAATGTTGAGGTGCAGCCACAGATGTCTGGCTTTGCTAAAACATTGCTTACGTTTTTGTGAGCTTTTTCTCAAGCTCTAACTTTACGCTATAGGACAATTCTCTCAGACGCATAGAACCAGATGGAAGCCGATCCTCCACTGGAATCTTGCGTGCAAGACTTTGACAATTTGCGCATATTATAGGAGCGCGAAGCAGCGCCAGAGTAAATTTCAAATCCTGTAAATTTTTGCAAATATTAATGCAAGTGAGGCCCTATAAATATAGAAGTCGTCAGGATATGAATATTTGAAACTCTACGTTAACAACAAAAACATTTTATTGGCGCGAAAGTGTTCGCGTAATTCTTGAACTTAACAAGTTTTTGAAATTAAACATGATGTCACAGTTCGATGACCTTGAAGTAGCTAAAGGCTTGTGACCAAAACAGATGTTCAAGCGTAACAGCGTATAAGGTAGCTACCAAGAACAAAGCTTTCAGTAGTGGTTTAATTTGGCTTCAATTTCGATTATATCTTTGATTTGTTTACTTAAATCTAGAAAATGGAAGTTTGACGTGTTCTAACCAATCTTTTTCCAACAAACAGGTAAGCAGGAGCGGTAAAGCTCATTCTGATCTTAAGGTCGGCAGGATGCGGCAGGTTTGTCTCAAACCCCTTCTCGCGCTTGGTAGAAGTAGAAGTTCAAAAGTGTACCCTAATTTCACGCGTATAAGGCGCGCAGGAATTTTCTTTAAATCACCAGCCTAGGCAAGCCAAAGGACTTTACGACCCAAGGACCCTATAACGTGCTGTATATTGCTTGAGAGATTCGTGCGATGTAAAGATTTCCTTCCGGAATACAGTGAAGCGGCTGAGCGGCTTGCTTGAGAATTCGAAAAAGTGCGCCTTATACGCGTGAAATTAGGGTAATTGAAACATGGGGTGAACGGCGAAATTTGGTACAGCGTGATTTTCATTACATTTCAAGATTTTTTGTTTTGAGCAACATTAAGCAGCTGCAACTCAAACGTCGCTTACATAAGCGATTTTCGCCTATTATCTAAGCAATGCGTTAACGCTCTCCTCCCACAACAATTAGCGTGGCGCCCAAGAGTATTCAAACAGGATTTTTTGAACATCTCTCATCCTTGCGCCGTAAAGTTATAAAGCAAGTTACGAACCATTCGGAAGAGCTCTTCATGCTTTTTCAAATGTTTCATTGAATATATAGGTCTCCTTCTTATTTCTAGGTAAGAAGACAAAAAACGAATGCGATTTTTTGGCGTAGTAAAAACCGAAAAATCATGTTTTAATCTATAGATTCTGAAAAGAAGAGAAATTTAAGGTAAACAGCGTATGGATGGTAGTGTGTATAGAACTCTACCAGGTGGTAGACAGAAAACGTGCGGTGGCTTGCAAAGAAGTAGATAACGTGTGTCTTTGTTTTCGAAACTGCTATTGATTATATCTCCTGACTTTGAGCGTTGCGCCCAGCAAGCCATAGTTTCGGTGACTGTGCCCTCATCCATTACAGCAGTGGTATTTTGAATGGTTCTGCATGTTTCACTGCGCAGGTACTGTTAGAAATTCATAATTTGTTGAAGTGATTACCTTTGCATTTTAGCAAGTATGAAAATTGTCAGGTATGTAAACCACGTTATATAAGACTGTCTGAAAGAGAATAATATATTCAAAAATATGAGAAAGTTTAATCACTTCTTTCTTGGGAAATCTACAATTATTTGCAAAGCGTTCCATTTTTTACCGTTCACCTTAATAATTTGCTCAAATTAATTTGGAGACCGGGTGAGACCGGGACCACCAGCTAGCCCCTAACCAAAAAAGTAATGCACGAACGTTCATTATTGTTCACTTCGAAGATAACGAGCATGTGGAAAGCTTTCAAAGCTTTCAAAAGTCAAAATGCGACTTCAAGAAGTCACATAAACTTCTTGCTCATGTCTTTTTCATGTTTCCCCAGAAGAACACTATGTATCTATTAATCGAACGCTTACATATTGATTCGATACAAGAGTCGTCGATCATTCTCGCGTACAGTATAGCTATTCTGTATCCTAACTTCGAGATGAGTGCATAGATATCACTAATGAGTTGATGCTAATCAAAGCCTTTGCGGTTTCTGAAGTCATGTTGAGGTTAGGTCACTGGGCATTGAAGAAAGTTAGAGCTTATAGGAAAAGGATATCGACTTGAATTCACGGACGCAAATACCATATATAGTTGTCCTCCCCCCACTAGACACTCAGTTGAGGATGAATTTGAGCAGGAGCAAACGGCTAGCGTCAGAGCGCGGCAGACGCCGCCCCGGTCAACGTGTGCGCATATGCTGCTTTTCCATTTCTTTTCGTGTTTCTTTGTCGTTACTCTTATTGCGGCAATGCACCGTATCAGACTCGAGATTTTGTTACCGGTAATCGTTCTTTCATGCTGTTATTATAGTTCGCCTTACCTTTTTTAGGTAAAGCTAAAATTACGAAGCAAGGAATTTACTTGCTCACAGAGAAGCTTTGAGAAATTGACTTACAATTTACGAAAGCAACGCTTAAGCATGTGCTTTTTCTACCGGAAAAGGCGATAAGCGATGTTTCATTCAAAAATCTTCAACTGCATCATATCTTCAGCTTTATTTGTAAAAAGGTAAGGCAAACGATAATAACAGCATGAAACAACGATCACCGTTAACAAAATCTCGAATCCGATACGATGCATTGCCGCAATAAGAGTAACGACGAAGAAACACGAAAAGAAATGGAAAAACAGCATATGCGCACACGTTGACCAGGGCGGCGTCTGCCGCGCTCTGACGCTAGCCGTTTGCTCCTGCTCAAATTCAAATTCGTCCACTGAGTGTCTACTGGGGGAGGGGGAGACGACTACATTTGAAATCAGCTTGGAACGCTAATTCCAAATATGCTATTCCTAGCGGCTGAGCATTATTCAGAAGCGAGTATGGGCTTGCTATTGTGCGTAATTGACAGATTTCGGATTGTGCTAAGACTGTAGTTAGGAATCTCCTTGCAAAAAAAAACTAGGATGTTCTCTAACATCAGATCAACTTTCTAAAATGGAGCCTAATAGCACTTAGACGTAGCATCAGTAGGTCGATGAGCACGCATATTTTGCACTCAAAAGGAACCATAACTCGCTTTAAAATGGTGCTCAGCAGCTAGGTACAACATTTTTTTGATTTGCGTTTCAATTTGATTTCAAATACATACAGGGTGTCCCGAAAAAATGTGCACATTGTTTGATCGTTAACTACTCTCCTGCTTTCATGTGTTTTACCGGGCTTGAGGCGCCATTCTGTAAAGCGAGGTTCAACTTAGACTTACAGTATGGAACGAATCATAAATCGCTCTTCATTACTGTGGGGTTACGGTATGAACTTTCAGCATAAAGCGTTACCGAGGAATAGGCCTTTTGATAAAAAGATTTCAAAAAACTCTGAAAATTTGTGTAGCAAGATTTTCAGACGCGCTGACTTCATTGCATGACTTTTCACCAATTTTTCAGGCTTTTTTGATAGCGTATTCACATTTCTGACGAACATTGGAAAAACGATTTTTACCCTAAATCTGAAATAACTTTTGAAAGAAGCACTATACTAAAGTGCAAGTTTAAAATTTAAGATCAGCGACTTCAACTAGCCCACTTCAAAAGTTTCTGGCTTGTCTGGCTTTCCTTTCTGAGGCAAAATACCGGCAAAATACCGCTTTCAGTGGATTAAAATCCTCCTCGAAGTATTTATCGTATTACAGTAATGAAGAGAGACAAATGGTTCGCTCCACACTTTAAATCTAAGTTGAACCTTGCTCTATAAAATGATACCTCAAACTTGGCAAAAGACATGAAAGCAAGAGAGTTATTAACGATCAAACAGTGTGCACATTTTTTGGGACACCCTATATGTCTCATCTCAAAAGAGGAATTTGAATTAGTATCCTTCCCTTGTCAGTTACTGATACAGTTGTCTGCAGCACTACTTGCTCGGCATTTGTTTAGGTAAGATCAGTTTAATCATGCATTCACTTTCTCGTTCAGCGCATTAAGCATCTTCCTTAACATTGAGGCGGTTATCAATAGAATAGTTTACTCATGCGTTCGAGAGTTTTAGACTCTGAAAATGGTGATACCACCGAAGCCCTAAAAATACAAAATATTCCAATTTCGATGTACACTTAAGCACGCCTTAATAAGCATCTATAATATGGGAGCGACAGTCGAACCTGTACATTATTTGCATTTTGTTGACGGAGCATTCTGATACTACTGGTTGAGAATAATTGGAGTTACTGCTTGAAATTCACAGTTCTACTAAGTAGAATATAAATATGTTATGCCACTTGACTAGGCAAGATGTAATTAATAAGAACTGAAGGAGAACTTCAATTCCGGATGTTGCCGTTAGCAGCCGAAAAAAAGCAGTAAAAAGGGCTTTATTTGAAACTAGTTGACTTACCCGGTTCCGCCCGGCCCTGTCATTCATTATTATATTCGTAATCAACATGCTCGATTACCCCCTTTGCCAACTCTCAGCCCCGTAGCTCAAATTTTGCAAAAAATCGATAAAATCGATATCAATCAATGACGAAAAGTAGCCTATGACAGCGGCCGGGGCCCGAAGTGTA